TGAGATAATAATCTAAACATCTGAATATAATCTAGTAATATTAATACAGATTGCAAGTTTAAAAGATTTAAAATAAAACATCAAAGCAGAAATGTTAGATATAACAATTGGTAAAGAACCTTTAGACAGACTTCTTAAATAGATAATATAGAAAAGTTATACATGTAGCTAATTGTACATTTTTTTGTAGTAGTTCATTAAATTACATTATTAAAAAAGTTATTAATAAAAAGTCAAAAAACTAAAAAAGTCACATTAATACTAAAAAAAATATATATATTTAAATTATATATAAAAACAATTATTAAAATGATAAATAAAATTAATAAGATTATTATTATTTTTTTTTAAATATCTTTAAAAAAATATTACATTATTATTTATATTAATATTAATAAAACTAAATTTAAAAAATTAATAAATTTTAGAAAATAGTAATTCTAGTATAGTAATTTGGTTATTATCTTTTAAGTAATAGATTTAATATTCAAATTCTACTTATAACAAAATTTGAAATTATATTTGTATTATAATTAATAATTAGTTAAATTTACAAATCTGTTATCTTAAATATATCAAGTTAGACTTTATCTATTATTAGAAACTTGAAATATTTATATAAAATGTAATATTATATATAGAGAGAAAAATATTAATAATAGTGTTATATAAAACTTTAATATAAATCTATAATAAAAGCATTAAATATAAAGATTAAGAAACTAAAAAACCAGAAATTTACTTAAAAATTCCTGAATAAAAAAATAATATAAATCTTTAACAATACTATTTAATTAATAAAATTTCTAAACATTTTTCAAGAATATTAGTAAGACAAACTGAATAACAAAATATATATATAAAAATATATAATTAACTTGATTATCAGATTTAGTAAAAGAAAAGAATATATACAAAAGTATATTATATTAGATTATCTGAACTAATAGTTTGAGAAATCAAAAATAACTCAAAAAAAAACTAGTAAAAGAAGATAAAGAAGATATTAGAAAGATAGATACTGAGATTTTAGTAAACTTTACAAAAGTAGAAATAGTAAAATATATTAGTTAAATAAATAACTCTTGTAACTACAAATATTAACTAACTATAAAATATTGTATAAAACTAAATTAGTATATATAGAAATGTAATAACCTAATGAAATAGTTAGATTGTCAATCTTCTAAGTAATAGGTTGGGTGTTCAAATTCTATTGACAATGAAAATTTAAATAATCATCTATATAATATTTGTATTACAGCAACTGTTACTAACAATTAGATTAGGATATTTGTAATAACAGTTACACTAGCATGACTAGCAGGTCATAGGCCATCTGTATAATATTGAAGTTATATAGAGAAATGCAAACTGATAACTGGGTGATACAAATACTAGATAAGTCCTTGTGACTATATAAATCTATTAAAATTGTATAACAAAAAGTTCATTTGAGAAGACCTAAGTAAAAAGGTAGCTGGATCTTTAACAGTGCTATTGTAAAAGCTAGCATAGAAAAATGGATATCAAAATCTTAGTAACCAGACAGACAAGAACCTTCAGATTAGAAGTTTTAGAAATATTATCAACCAGGCTGTTAGAACAAATTAGAAAAAAAGAATATTAGATTGATTTAATATATTAATAAACTAATTATAGTTCTATACAGGCTATCTGAATTGAAAACTGTCAAAATTTGGGAGTATACTAAAGTACCAGGATTATATTGTAAAGTAGATGTTAAGGTTTAAATAAACTTTACAAGAGCTTGATGATTTAATTGTTAAGTTCTGATTACAAATATTAGTTTTATTATAGTAATATCTAGGTTAGCTATAAAAATAAGTACAAAAGGCTCTAAGAAATTTACCTTAAAGATAAAATAGTTTTAAGATTAAGACATAATCTAGATATCTAAATATAATCCAATAAGTTAATACAGATTACAAATTCAAAGAGTTTAAAATAGAACACCTAAGCAGAAGTATTAGATATAACAATTAGTAAAAAAGCTTTAGGTAAACTTCTTAAATAGGTAATATAAAAAAGTTATATATGTAACTAATTGTATTCTTTTCTGTATTAGTTTATTTGAATTATATTACTAATAAGTTATTAATAAAAATCAAAAGACCAAAGAGATCATCTTAATACTAAAAAAATAAAATAAAATAAATTAGTATATATGAAACATAACAGGCTTTAGTAAGTTTTTTGTTAAAGATAAAATAGTTCTAAAGACTGTCATTAATCACCTGATTATTTTTTATTAAAAACTTAATTTTCTCTTTTTTCTTAATATATAAATAATTAGATTTCTTATATATAATTTTAACTTTTTTACTTTTTTTTCTTAAAAATACTGAAAGGATTAAAACTTGAATAAGCAATGTCATAAAGATATTCTTATAATACAAAATATATTGCATATACAAAAGTTTTAAATAAACAAAATCTATAGTTAACTTGCAGATATAACATCTAATATAAAATCTGTATAGTAATATATAGATGAACTACTTAAATTAGATACTAAAAGTGCACATGTGACTAGTTGTAACCTTCTTTGTAAAAAAGCTTTTAGAAATATCTGTGTCTTATGAACTTGAATAAAAATCACATCTTAAAGATAAGAATTTTAATACAAAAAAAAATCAATTTTTCAAAAACAATATTTAAGAACTATAGTATACTTGAAACTAAAAATCAAAAAAGTTTATAATAAAGTTTATAATAATATTATTAATATGCTTATTAATAAAGCAATTAAAAATTACAATATTAAAAAAAGAGACTCAAAATTATTATACAAATTAAAGAAAGATTTGAAACATATAATTAGTATACATATATAAAATTTTTCAAAAAAAGATTATAAAAGGTTTTATATAAGATATTTATTTAATAAAAATATAATATCAAATAAGATTAAATTAGATAAATTAATTTAAAAAAGATATTTATAACTTAATCACTTTGTTACCAAAAAAAATAACAATAAATAACCATCAACATTTGTACAAAATTGTAAATTAATATATTATTATAAAACAAATAAATGGTTTCTATTATAGATGTATGAAAGTTTGATAAAAACTAAAGAAACTTATAAAAAATTTGTAATAAAAGACCTGGGTGTAAGAATCTCACTTGTGATATACTCACCAATCAAAGGTATTTATGAGATTGGTAAGAATGATTCTCAGAGGTTGGTAAGATTAGAATATTATGCTAACAAACTAAACTCAAAAAAAGACAAATCAAACAATTCAACATCCGGAATAAAGAAGAAAAAGACCAAGAGAATCGATAAAGTTATAGCTTGAATATTTTAAAAGATTAAGAATTTGAGAAACGAACTTCACAAGAAGACTATAAATTATCTTGCAAAAAATTATGATATGATTATAATTCCAGGGTTTGGTGTAAAAAGCATAATAAAAAGAGAAAAAAGAAAGATCAAATCCAAGGTCGTAAGAAACATGTTAACCTCATCACATTATATGTTTAAACAGAGGTTGAAATCCAAAGCTGAAGAAACTGGCATGAAAATTGTGATCCAAGACGAGGCTTACACTTCGAAAACATGCTCTAATTGTGGTAACATACAAAATATCAGTGGAAGAAAAATTTATAAATGTAAGAATTGTAGTTTTAATCATAGATATGTAAACAGCTCGAGGGATCTTCCCTCGAGCGTTGCTATATGCATGCATATGTAAGAATTGATAACTGTATTTAGCAATGACTAGTATAGATGTATTACATTCCATCCAGATCTGTAGTGTTAATACGAATTAGCAAAGTTAACTGGTGGAAATTTTTCTATGTACCGTTTATGTTTACGTTGTTGAGCTGAAAAATTTACAGTTCAACACATAAGTAATATAAATGCATAATAAATGTTTTAAGAATATTATTCATGGGTTTCGAAAAAATTTTTTAGACTATTTTCTTTGCTCTGTATAATTTTTTATTGCCCAATTACATTATGAATCGTTACACTTGATCATCAATATCTACACTGATCCCATTGTTAGCGATGTTGAATTTCTTTGTACGAACGTACATAGTTCATTCGTTGGTCTCGCTGACATCACTGATATCTCGTCTAATAATGGCATCTTTGACAACTAAACCGATCACTATGCGTATGTATTGGTTCTCGTTATCCACCTTTGCATCAACAGAATCATTTTTTACAGGGGATCGCCAAATTTCCGGGTCGGATCCATCGTATTTAGGCCGGCATTTAGCAATACAAGTCAGCCATTTCTGGGCCAAAATTATCAGCTGGGCAGCTTTACTTAACGTTAATGACTGCGTCATGACTTCATTAGTAAAACTTTTAGTGATCTTGGGCAAAATTAGACAATTCCGGCCCCGCCGATCATGATTCCGAGGTATTCCGACCCAAAATTTTGGTGACCGTTCAAATGTATCAAAGGACGGATATTTTCAAAGATCTGGACCTGAACCGAATCCCGACATAGAATCCGAATACGTGTAAAGAAAGTGAAAATGGTGCATTAATTAAAAATGTCGGGAACTAAATTTTAGATTTAGAAAATAATACCCCAAGTTAACGCCCTATTTTCATAATTTTCTTTTGGGTTTGTATTACTCGATAAAATTTATCAACTCTTATCAACTCTAGCCTATTTTAATACCTAATTTTTAGTCGATCTACCAAGCGACTAATCTACTCAAATTCTCTAAATGAAAATCCTCAGTTACAAAAATTATCCGTAGTGTTTATTCATTTATGTTAAATATAGTGAAAATCCGTAAATGACCATTAAGTCCAGCTACAGATTTCCATTCATATAGAGTATCTGAGATACTCTGAATCCAAGTATTTGAATCAGGATATTTGTAGTTTCGAAGGCAGCTTAATTATTACAGCATTCCATAATCCTTTTATTCAAATGTTTAAATCAATTACAATAAAACATTCGGACTAAAAATATTAAAAAGTACAGAGTGTAGGGAAAATTTTAATGAATCCATCCTTTGTCATGTCCATCCTTCATTTGAGGTTCCAAAAACCCACGAAACATGATATTTGTGCCATCACTACTATTAAAAGAGTTTGTGGTGCTACTTGAATCCGTTTGTAATTGTGATTGCAATTGTTGGCATTGGGGTTCACGAATTTCCCAACGTGCTCCATATCCATCGAGATTACGAACTTCAAAAACACGTGTGTTGTGCTACAAAAAAAACCAGCATCAGCATTAGAATCAGAATAAGAAAATATGAAGAGATTGTACCGGGAGTGAATGCAAATTAATCCACGCAGCATTTGTCAATATTTTAGCCAGCACTTTATTAGCTTGCTCGTTTTTTCGTTCTTCAGCTATATAAACATTTTACATTACATATTTTATTATATAATCATGAAATGTATGTTTGATAATAATTAGGGATGGTAAAGTTCTTAGGTTCGGAACCTTTGAAACCAAAAACGAGGGTTCAATTTTGGAACATAGGTTCTTATATTAATAATAGGTTTTTTAACATATATATGTGTTGTAATTTGGAATCTCTTTGGATTTAAAGTTAGGATATAAGTTTATATAAACCAAATTTTATCCTAGGATTAAAACTTTATTAAGAAATTTTAAATTCACTTAAATTCCGTTTTCAATTCCAACATATATATATATATGAACTAAAATGAATAATGTAAACTTTGAATTAAAATTTTACGCAAATTAAAAATATATCAAGATCCTATAATAATTTTGGTATTATAGAATTTCTTTTAGTAAGATGATTTGAATAATACAAATCTAATTATGTAATTGGTAACAACTACTATTAAAATAGAAAGCCTTTTATTACATATTTTAATAGTAGTTACAATACATAATATCTAAAAATCAGTGATTAAATTAGAATTTTTGAATCATCTTGCTAAGAGAAATCCAATGATATCAAAATTATTGTGGCAACTTATGCTGAGAATTTGAACTATCTTATTATGAAATTATAAAAAATTTTGGTAGTCTGTTTTTTTCATAGTTAGGTTAGGGTTTCGGGTTAGTATTATTAATAATAAAAAAATATATGTAAATATTTAAATAAATACTCTTAAATCTCAACATAACCAATCTCAGCACAAGCCACCACAATTATCAAAATCCAATCAAAAGATCTTGAGGTATCTTGAATATTAAATTTTAGAACCGGGTTCAAGAACTAGGTTCTGAACCAAACCAGGTTTAACTTAGATGTGGATCCTAGTTTTCAAGAATCCGATTCTTAATATGGCTTTTAAAATAGAACCTAAAGGTTTTGAAACCAAAACCTAAATTAACTTTACCGTACCTATCAATAATAAACCTACTTCCACTACAAACACCCCAAAAAGATCCACTAGTGTCTCTATGGCAATGTTTAGAAAACGCCTTGGCACCAACCGTAAGTATATTTGAGATTGATGCGCGAACTAGCTTTGTATTTTTTTTTACGTAGCGTTGTGTAAAGGCTGCAAGACATTCTGGTAGTGATGGTGGAAGTTGAATAGCAGATCCGAGTGTCGTACGAAGGCCAAGGAATGTGTTTAAGTCTCTTGGAGTTAAAAACTGCATATAATTATGTCTTTATCGATTTTTTATATTATAAAGAAGTACCCAATGTTTAAAAGCTACCTTAAAGAGAAAATCATTAAGGGAGTTACGATGAAATTCTTCAAAAACAAGAGGAATTCCATTCCAAGAGCCAATTAGATGTTTCATTTCTTGTTCAATTTCATTCAATCTAGACTTTATGGGTTTGAATGTGACTAAAAACATTATGGGTGCTCTCAAGCATTTAAGTTAATAGATCGGAGCTGTGAAAAAATAGTTCAGCTAGTCAAATGAGTAATGAAAAAAAGTATGGTCTTGACCATTTTTTTTATCTTAGAGTTGTGCCGATTGACTAAAATTTATTTCGCATTATAAATATGCAGTCAAATTACTATAAAGATTATACCAATTAATCATAGTACTTGTGAACGAACTCGATCATTTAGCAAATCTCATTGAGAAATATGCTTGAGAGCACCCTATATTTTAGCACCTATGGAAAAGAGTTACTCACCTTGGTAAATTAGTGTTTTCAAGCATAAAAACCTTACTTGTTTTTAAACTTCGAGGAAATTCGCCACTGTTTTCAAAACAAAGTGAGAGCATTTCCACTAAAGCTAAGTAAAAAGGTCGTTCAAGGACACCCTTGTCAAAGCGAGATTTTTGCGAAGTCGGTGAAACAATCAGAGACTGTATAGATTGATTAAGGTGTAATGAGGTATCTTCCAAATTTGTTGCCTCCTAGTTGAAAGAATGCGTTTAGGTTTGGTATTGGCAATTGATTTTTCAAGACACGATCTTATTTACATTGGTCATTTGACATGTCGAATTTTTTTTTTTGATTTTGACTAGTGTTAACGTGCATACCTCCTGAAGCAGTCCGATACACAAAGCGGGCCATGAAGTACGGTCAGTAGAATCTTCTTGGGCCTTTTTAATTAAAATAGACTTGATCGTTTCGCATAGATCCATAGATGAAGATTAAAGCCTCGAAAGAACGTCTATGAGAATTTTTTGATCCGGTGTTACTATCGGGTTTTCTGCTGCGGCTATGAATACTAAATATCGTATTTTCATAATTTGCTTCAGAATGTGTAACGACATATTTTTAAACATTTATAAATACGGATACATAGAGGTTTGAGTCTATTATGAAGCATAAAAGAGAGCAAGGGGAAAAATAATCTTGTCAACTCTTGGTTTACTATCATAAAATATACTTTTAATGGAGGTTTAACCAAAAAGTATTTGTGTTTGAACCTAATGATGAAGATTACACTTTATCATCAGAAGGATTTGAATTAAAAACTCTTAAGATTAGAATTTACTTCATTTGAGGTTGCAATATTTTGCAGATGGTTTAATGAAGTATAATAGACTTACAATAAAATTGTTCAGTTGCATTTTTTTGACAAGTTTAATTATAAGCAAGTTTTTTTTTTTTTATTAATATAATATCAAGTAGAAAAAATAATAATATATAAATATACTAATTAGATATAATGTATAACTAGAAAAATTATTCTTAAACTACACTATTATTGCTATATATGAAAGTGAGTCAATAAAAATTAAGCAAATCATTTTTATTAAAATTTTTTTGAAATTTTTTTTTTTTTTTTAATATTAATGGTAAGGTTACGTTTCTTTTTTTTTTTTTTTTTTTTTTGCTCTTAAGCAGCCATGCTAGTACTTTATTAAGATTTTTGCAACTATATACAATA